TCCCACTCTCTCCCTATTTATTTCAAAACCCCCTTCCCCTCCCCCTTTTCTGATGAAGGGTCTAGGCCCGAAACGTCAGCCTCTCTGCTCCTATGATGCTGCTTGGCCTGCTGTGTTCATCCAGCCCTGCACCTTGTTGTCTCGGATTCTCCGGCATCTGCAGTTCCTACTATCTCTGATAGTATTTTTATACATTTTGTGTTACAATGATCAAGCACAATGTGGTTACTGTACCCTCCCCTCCCCTTCCCTTCTGTGGTGCCAGTCTTGTAAATCACCTGATCAATGATGGACATTCCTACTGACAGCCCTAGGCCCTTAGTTTTTAATATGATGTTTAACAATTATTGTAATCTCTAGGCCTTGGGATCTTTGTTTGTTGCATTCCAAAATTACTGGCTGACCTCTTTCGGTCATGCTTATTGCTAAGGACTGCTTGAATTCTATTGTCCATTGTACTGGCTATGTCCTGTCAAATTCCGTTATCCTTTTTATATAAAAAGTTAATTCTGTTATTAAAACTCATAATATTAATAATATTTATAACTTTAATAATTATTTATATTGTTAACATTTTAGCTAATCAGACAAAATATGCCAGGCATCTCTTTAATGTTTTATAATTATTATCTCTGTGATTATTTAAAGAATCTTTAACTGGAATTTATTAATATTGTAAATAGTTTCAAAGAGAGAACTAATTTCTGTAGGATAACTTTCGCTGCTGTTTTTTTATGGCTGAACACATCCTCAATGAGACAAGAATTAATTACTTATTGTAGTGATTTTTCAAAGTTTTTGAGTTACAATTTCATTTTGTTGCCAATCATCCAAATGTTTTCTTAATCTTCTTTATCGCTGTCTTTGCATTCTTTGTAACCTTGTCATTCAGATAATGCTTTCTTTTGCCTTGGAATAACTCCTTTCTCAAAGGCACCATTGTTTTTTTTTTGTTGAGATAAGCTTTTTAAATTTCGCCTATTTTGTGCCCCTTGAAAGTAGGCAGTTCAATCGGGCTTTTCTTTAAGTTCCGGCCATTTTGTGTCTCTTAAAAATAGGCAGCTCCAACAGAGACACATTGCCTTATCTCCATGGAGCATATTCCTGTTTATGTTTTTGCGTATTTTTCCTTTATGAGCACTGGTTCTGATATTATAGTCGCATGGAAAAATCACTTTGTTTTGCTCAACAAGGTGCTATTGTTTTATTTTCCACTGATAGCCAGAAGGCCTGTTAATCATTTGTCTTTCTTTATTATCTTATTGAAATAGCTGATTGCTTTTTTTTTAAAATCAAGAATGCAAAATTACACATTGTTTCTGTTTTAACCAGGATAATTTCCAGCAACAGATCCCATATTGTAAAATTACCTGCAAACAGGGTAAGTGACTTAATATGGTACCCAAGACAAAATGCATGCATATGCAAGAAAATAATTTTGTTTGCAGACCTGTAAATACAGATATCAACCATTATACCATTCCCTGTTGACTTTTAACGATATGTGCTGAGCCATATAATGCGTAGAGCATGCCGGGAAAGGAGCATTGCACTGATAGATATCCACAGTTCAGTAGCCATAGGAGCATGATACCCATTTAGTTACCACAGAATCCCTACAGTGTGGAAGCAGGCGATTCAGCCCATCGAGTCCACACTGACCTTTCAAAGAGCATCCCACCCAGACTCTGCCCCCTACCCTAGACAATATGTGCATTTTAGCATAGCCAATCCACCTAGCCTGCACATCTTTGGACTGTGGGAGGAAACCAGGGCACCCAGAGGAAGCCCACACAGACACGGGGAGAACATGCAAACTCCACACAGACAGTCACCTGAGGCTGGAATCAAACCCGGGTCCCTGGCGCTCTGAGGCAGCAGTGCTAACCACTGAGCCACCATAATTCATTCATGGAATGTAAGTATCTCTGACAAATCCAACATTAATTTCCCATGTTTGCCTGCTCTTGAAGGTGGTGGTAAATGGCATTCTCAATCATATTGTAGTCTGTATGCTCAAAGTACTGTTCTGGACATCCCCCAACATCAGGAACATTTTTCCTGCATCTAGCCTGTCCAGTCCCGTCAGGATTTTATATGTTTCTGTGAGATTCCACTCTTATTCTTCTAAACTCCAATGAGTACAAGCTCCAGTCGATCCAGTCTTTCTTCATATGTCAGTCTTGCCAAACTGGGAATCAGTCTGGTGAACCTTCACTGGACTCCCTCAATAGCAAGAATGTCCTTCCTCAGACTAGGAGACCAAAGCTGCGCACTAAGGCCCTGTATAACGGCAGCAGTTATGGGCAAAGACAGGTAAGTGGAGTTGAGGATTACCAGATGAGCCATGTTTTCATTGAGCAAGAACAGAAATTGCTGGAACAAACTCAACAGGCCTTGCTGCTTATGGACGCAGACTGCCTCAATATTTTATGAGTTAGAATAGCACTGAACATTGTGCAATTCTTAGTACATCTTCCTGTTTTTGAAGGAGGGAAGGTCATTGATGCAGCAGTTAAAGACTGTTGGGCCTAACCTGAGGATTTCCTGTAGTTCTTGGACTGAGATGACTGACAGTCAACAAAACCACAACTATCTCCCTTTCTGCTAGGTGGCTGTAACCAGTGTGGACTTTTTCCATTAATTTCCCCTGATTTCAATTCTGTAAGGGTTCCTTGATGCCACACTTGGCCAAATTGATAGAAGGGACATTGCAGACAGATATTGAGTACAATGGCAGCAATTACCAGCAAGCAATGTTCTTTATCCTAGATAATTAGCTAGCACTTTATACATTGGCACAGCTGCAGCCAACCTAGAGAGTGCTGAGTATTGAACACATTCCTCACTTGAATTACTTTTCTGGTCAAAATATTTTAAAAGCTATAGGCTGAGCCGCTTACCACACAGTATTCACTTTTTTACTGATAATTCTAGATTAGTTGATCCAGTTAAGCTTCTGGTCAGTGACAAAGATGTAAATGGTGCGAAATAAAGCATTAATGGTGCTGTGAATGTCAGTGAGGCATCATGCTGAATCACGGCACGATTTTATTTAGACAAAAATCAAGTGAAAATCTAAAATGGTTTGTAATTGTTTGTTTGAGGACATCTAGCTTATGTACAAGATGTGAAATTCTACCCCATTCGATCTCAGCTGACCTCTATTTACATCTTTTACTTAAGTGGTGCAATCTGCTCTTAAAATTGTGTAATTCAATTTAAATGTTGCAAAAAACTCCTCCTTGTTACTTGATTAAATGAAATCATTCAAACTGCTAGATAATAGTTTGGTTTTAAGAAAAATGATGAATTGGCAGGTGAGAGTGGGAGTTCAACTTTAGCTGTCATTGTCAATTCTGAAGCAAATTGTGCCTGGTTTGAAAATTCTTTGTTCCACTCAAGTTTCTGTTCAAACTAATTTATCAAATTCCAATGCAATCGGACTATGCTTTAAAATACTTCATTTTTAAATGTTGCTTTTAAAAATATTCCTTGGTGTATTTTAGGGTGTTAGATTGGTGAAATTTAATGAATATGAAAATGTAATTATCACAAAAGATAAGAATTTTAAATCACTCTATTGACCCATCACCTGAGAGTAATTCAGCTTTAAGTTGCTGAAGCTATGTTCATAAATAGAGAAATATAAACTCTAGTTACATTGAGTTTCAGTAGTAAATTTTTCATTAAGTTTAAAATGAAATAATTCGCTACATTTGAAAATATACCATTTAGTGTCATCGAGCCCAAAATCTGCAGCCTAACTTTTGGTTTCTCCTTGAACATGTAAATGAAGCTGGCTAGCTAGAAACTCCTAATAGTGATGAATTACTTCTGGGGCCGTAGCCAGTTTGATGGGTGGGGACTGACTTTGACACACTGTTTTTAAAGCAAGTGCTGAAGATTGTGGAAGCTGAAATCTCAAATTGTGCTGAACACAATTTATATTTGAAATGTTGTGATAATTTGCCTTGATCTGATTAATATCGAGCAAATTGTAGTGAAAAATCTTGAGCAATCAAACAGAAGCTCCAGGCCTTAGATTTTATAAGTTGCAACTAATGCATTTTCTAAGATAAAGAACTCCCAACAGTTAGAAAATTGTGATTTTTTAACTCCTTTTCTCTTGTATTTTGTTCTCATGATCATTATTCCTGTCATTATTGGCAATGTGCATACACATTAATGGCAGTCACAGTTAGCTAGAAAGAAATGCAACGATCAAAGATGGAAAAATTTATATAACTTCAGTATCAAATTCTATACTTTAAACCCTTTTGGGTTCAGGCTAACTTTCTATTGCATCAAAGGAAAATGTTTCTTTATTTTCCCACTCAAAAATAAAATGAAGAAATGTCTTTCATGTGGCAATGAATGAATAACTAAAAGAAATGCTGGACTGTCTGCAACATACTTTGTCTCAGAATGTGACTCCATTAATAGCAGTTAAAATATGATTCATCTCCAGAAATTATATTTTACTGCTTATCAAGCAGCTAATGAGATACTTAACTGTCAGATAATTTGTAAATGTCAGGTTATCACTTCTAAGTTTTGAAATGTCAGACAGGTGTGCCATATACTGCCCAATTGTGTTGAAAATGGAAAGACAGCAGCATCAAGAGTCTGACATGGAAGATAGCAAGGACATTTTGAATAGGAGAAGATGGATTATTGCCTCTACATTTAAAGAACAGGAAGTTCATGTTCAATTGAAGTAAATTCCCTGAAGGTAGAAAGGAAGGACAAGCAAAACCAGAATTCACTAAATAATGAAAGAGACAGAGAGGAAGATGAAGCAGTAAAGGGTACATAGTCATCAAGTCTGTAATGCATATAACAACTAGGGTGAGGAGAAAAGAGAAAAGCAAAAAAAAAGAAGCAAAATGAAAGTTTCTGAGGTGACTGGCAATTAGCTTAATATGGCATCTAAATGCCTTCTACAGGCAGTTAAATAACAAATGGATAGCAAAAGCAGGAGTGGGACATATTAGGGATCAAAAAGTGAACCATACATGGAGGTAGAGGGAGTGCCCGCGTTATTTAAATGAGTAATAAAATGAAAATTGCTGGAAACACTTGGAAGGTCTGTTACCATCGGTGGAGAGGGAAACTTTTATCAAAAATTCATGACCTGAAATGGTAATCCTGTTTCTCCCTCTACAGGTGCTGCCAGAGCTGCTGACTGTTTCCAGTGTTTTCTATTTTTATTTAAGTTTACAGTATCCACAGAATTTTGTATTTAAAGAGTAGCTTGCATCAGCCTTTAGGAGAAGAGGTTGCCAAAGGTGCAGTGAAAAAGGAGGTAGTTGAATGGGCTAAAAATGAATCAAGAGGGGTATTATAAGGTCGGCTGTTCTCAAAATTGATATGTCACCAGGACCAGATCTGAAGGTAAAGAAGAACGTAAAGGTGGAAATTACAAGGCACTGACAATCATCTCAAAATCTTCCTTAGATAGTACAGTAGAATCATGCATGTGCCAGATATGCAAATATTACACTCTTGGTCAAAAAATAATGAAAACTTAAAATAATGAAAATTTAAAATAATGAATTACAGATCAGTCAGATTAACCTTTGGTACGAAAGATTTTAGATTCAGTTATCAGGGACAAAATTATTTTTAAAAACACTTGGACAGATGTGAACTACTGAAGTAAAGCAAGGATAGATTTGTTGAGGACAAATCGTGTTTAACTGAGTTGATTCACTTTTTGATCAGTTAACAGTGATGGCTGATGAGGATATTGTTCATTTTTACATCAGCTATGAGCATCGCTGACAAGGCCAGCATTTGTTGACCATTCTAAATACCCTTCATTTGGTGTTCTACTTCAGTGTTCCTCTTCCAGAAGAAGGCATAGACATCATCTTGTTCTTTGAGCTGACTTTCTGCTGCCCACAACATCATAGTGCCAGGGTTCCTGGCCTGCGAGGTGATGTGACATTCATTGAGTGAAGAAATTGCTCTTCATCTCAGTCCTAAATAATCAATCCTTTGTCTTCAAACTATGCTCTTTGTTTTAGATTCCCCAGTCATGAGGAACAATGTCTCAGTGTTAAACCCCTTCATAATATTACATATCTCAATAAGATCAGCCTCTCCTCATATTACAGTTTTCTCTTTCTAGGGCCAGCCTAGTGAGTCTTCACTGTACTCTCCCTAATACAAGTAAATCCTTTTTTAAATACAGGGACCATACTTAAAGTTCATATCTAGTATCAATTGCCTGACAGTGTGATGGAGGCAAAGGCCGTCCTGACTTTCAAAGTGAAATTGGATCATTACCTGAAGCGAGAGAAGTTGCAAGGCTATAGGAAGTGGGATAGTAGAACTGCTTTTGCAGAGAGGCAGCATGGATATGATGAACTGCTTGGCCTCTACGATTCTATGAATTGAAGCTGATGTTACACAAAGTAGAGCCCTCCAACCTGGCAAAGTCAATGATTCAGTCTACCTATCACTCTAGTTTGTGCTAAAAGTGTCCAATGACGCCACCCGGAAACTGGAGGAGTCATATTCATATTCTGCCTTGGGAGCCTACGACCCAATGATCTCAATGTGGATACCAGTTTCAAAATCTGCCCACCCGGCCTCATCCCAAGACCAACTCTCCCTCTCATCCCTGCCTCCTTAACCTGACACAACCTGTCCATCTCCTCTCCCACCTATCCGCTCCTCCCAACTCACTGACCAATCCCCACCACTACCAACCTGCACTCACCTATCACCGTCCCACCTACCTTCCCCAACCCCACCCCTCCTCGCTCTATTTCCCAGCTCTTTCCCCCTCCCCCATTTCTGAAGGAGACCCGAAACGTCAGTTTTCCTGCTCCTTGGATGCTGCCTGGCCTGCTGTGCTCCTCCAACTCCACACTGTGAAACTTATCACTCTATCTGTTTGTGTCTCTTTTTAGAGTGGAATTATGTAAACACCATTTTCTCTGCCCTGCCTCCTTGTTTATCCCCTCAATGGTGTCACAGAGTACAGCTTTCTTTCTTCCTTCCTTTCAGTATTAATTCCACTTTTTCAGTTGTACTTTCTTAACATCTGCATTTTTTTTTGGTTTGTTGTATTCTTGAATAACTCCATACATTTACATAGTAAGTTACTTAATACCATTAAGACACCCTAAAATTACAGCGACATATTCTGCAGTATAGTAGGTTCAATGTCACTGAGTTTCCCAATTAATTCTTTGTGCTAAATGAATTGGTGAGGCTTTAAGTGCTGTCCATACAGCATTCTTTATCTGACAGCTGCCAGGCCAGCGCATCATTTATGTTCAGGGCTCTGCACTATGAACCATAAATGTAACATCTTATAGTGGTGTCTCCATGTGAGCATAGGAACATATTGGCAGAGAGCTAATGTATTTATAAGATTGTAATAATGCCTGTCATCTTACTTTTTCATGTAGCAACTAAAGTTCATGCACACTCCACACCAGTTTCTGCTCCTCAGCAGTCCACCGGCCAAAGAATCCAATTTCAGGGCAGCAAAGAAACTTTATGGGAGCACTTTTGCATTTCAGTAAGTTCCCATTCTATAAATCTCTAAAGATATGAATCATATCAATCATAGTAAAAAATGGAAATGCCTTCTTTGTGTTTGCTTGAATGTGTGTAAATGATGTTTCATTACCACCTTTTATTTTTGAATAGAATTGGAATGAGGAAACGTCTTTGAGAGATGAAAGGCAGGATCTATTTGTTTAGAGTTCAGAAATAATAAAGGAGTTATTAAACTACTTGGTATATTTTATCGGCCACCAAATAGTGTAGGAAGATGATAAAGAAGTTGATTTACAAATCAGTTACTGAAAGTTGCAAGAACAATTTCTGCCTATTGCAGGCACACAATATTAACTGGGACATGATTCTGTGAAGGGCGGAGAGGGAAAAAAATCTGAATTCTCTTTGGGAGAATTTGCTTGCCCAATGAGAATGAAGATTTTTCTGGATCAAATTTTGGGAAGGAAATGGTTCATGTGGAGAATATCACATCACATTTGCAGAGCATCTCAGTTGTAATGATCATTGTACCATAGATTTTAGGTCAATTGTTATTCTTGAGTTCCCTGCCTGAAGACTGGTCTGATCTACAAGACTGCAATCTCACTGAGGCATTTCCCAACTCCACTACGGGCAGAAAATGAATCAAACGCTGCGGTGTTGCACTAATCTGATCCATTTGTCGAATCGGCCGAGCCCCAACCACCCACCACCACCACCCCCCCAACCCCAAACCCAATAAGTTTGAATTGCTATAAACTTCTACATGCATGTTGTTGCTTGGAGCTAAGAATCAGGATGACTGTGGCTCTTAATTTCTTTCCCTCTTTGGCTGACCAGGACTCACTTTGCTTTTATCAACAATGTATATTGGAAGGATTTACAAGTAGACACTCAACGTGTTTGGCCACGTCGTGAATGGACCTTCCTTAGCCACCAAGGCCTGGGAAGCAACTTGAACCAAGAGAGATAGGGATGCCACCTATTGCATCACAAGACTGTCTGCATTTTAGATTAGTGATGGAGCTGGGGAAGAACTGACCTGTAAAAGCAGTACTTATCTCAGGAAGCATAATCTTGGAGCGGTGCGGGTGAGGAGCACCTGGCTCAGGTAAATTAGAGTCAAAGACAGATATAACAGAGGTCAGTGTCATAATTCAAGGGAGAATATAAAACGTACAAAGGTAAAAACACAAACAGAAGCAGCCAAATGGCGTTGAGCTGTGCTGTAACCATATGAGAAGTAAACATGATGAACTAAGGGGGGCACACAGACACCACAAAAATAACTTGGTGATTAATATTAAAGGAAACGCAAAATAAAGTCCTCGGTAGGCCCATTCACATTTAAAACAGATTTGAAGAAGGTCCCTGCGGCCAATTAAAGGTCAAAACAGTCATCTATTGGTTGGAGACAGAAGGCATACCTGAGGCCCTAAATGAATACTTTACCAAAGAAAATGTCTTTGTCAAAGCTATGGTAAATGATGAGAATACTGGAAAAAAATTCATGGCAGAAGAGACCAGATCTTACACATGATCATAGAATCCCTGCAGTGTGGAAACAGGCCCTTCGGCCCAACAAGTCCACACCCACCCTCAGAGCATCCTGCCCACTCCCATCCCCCTATAACCCACCTAATCTACACATCCCTGAACACTGTGGGCAATTTAGCATGGCCAATCCACCTAGCTGCACATCTTTGGACTTTGAGAGGAAACTGGAGCACCCAGAGGAAACCCACACAGACATAGGGAGAATGTGCACACTCCAAACAGACAGTCGCCCGAGGGTGGAATCAAACCCGGGTCCCTGGCGCTGTGAAGCAGCAGTGCTAACCACTGAGCCACTGTGCTGCCCATTTCTTATTTCCTTGTCTTTATATAAAAGGGGGTATGTTTGGATTGAAATATAATCGTATAAATGTCTGTTCTGGTCAGCCATAGTCATATAACCTTTACCATGAGGGCACACCTTAAACTTCACTTCAATAAACTGTTATGTTGTACACTCGAACACAGAAAGAGAGAAGCAATGAGGGACCCTGCAAAGATTATGCATCATAAGCAAAATAAACAGTTTTTTTTCAGATACTCAAACTGTTTTATGTTTTATTTCTAGTGGCTCACATATAGAGAACTGGCACTCCATTTTAAGGAATGGTTTAATTGTTGCATCAAATACGCGATTACAGGTAAGATCAGGCAGAGCAAAAATAGCATAGCTAATAGGGACGGTTCTGTAACCTGATGTGTAACACCGGGATGGATAATTGCAGCCATTCATTGGATAATTTTTCATCCGTTAGTTTTAATTATTGGAAATTTCGCAGAATCTGTGCCTGAGTGTTCACTTTAAGTGTTTCTCCCCAACATGATGTAATACCTCTTTGCAAAACTTTGATCTAATGAAATATGATAAACCCAATTTAAGCGTTAACAACATTAACATAATTGACCTAGATTTTGATGTCAAGTTTAATGGTGCTCACTGTTTCAAATATGTGAATCATGCATCAACCAACAGAGAGAAAGAGAGAGCTTATGATTTGTGAATCACAAGTTGCATTGCTCCATTGATAACCTCATGAAAACAGCTTGCAGTTGTAACTTCAGCTCAGACTTCAGGCAGATTGATGGATGACTAGTAGAGAAAAGACTGTTTACAACAGCCATGCTTCTGGCACCGTGTCACTTGTAGTGTCCACATGTTGTCACTGACTAGCTGTCATGACTCCCAGTACTGCCTACTAGTTGCCATCGTGACACACTTTGTGCTTTTCTGTATGTTTGGCCACATAACATGTACCACACCGTTTTGGTGCGACAGTTACTTTGAAGATTTTAACAACATGAATTAACACACACGGTCTGGATTCTGTCCTTTCTGATATTACTGAATATTACATACACATAACTGACTGAAAACACTACATTGACTGCATTATATCTAGATGGTGTCTGCAGGCAAAGCAGGTACTTTTTATATGTCATGTAACTGTCTTAAAGGTTTGGGTCTGTTTGGTTTGGAATCAATGGTATGATGCAATACCTCTTCCTTCCCCACCCCAACCAAAACACTCCAAAAAACTGAATTCACTGTGGTCAGCTGTAGTCAGTCAGGAAGACAAAATATCATTCCACACCCTTGAAGGAAACCTATCAATGTATTTCGCAGAATATTTTCTCTGTTTAGGGATGCAAGAGAGCTAAATGAGCCATGTTCTGTTCTCCTTGCACCACACACTGTTCTTGCAACAGGACATTTCATTGAGATTTGCACCCTTCTAAACAAAGTTCTGTATTTTTTATGAGGACCCTTGTTGTTTCCAGGTAGATTAATCAGTTTAATCTGTAAAGTATATTGCCTAAATGGCCTGTAGATTCTGTGAGTGAAAACTTCCATTTTCATTTACTGTCTCACGTGCTTGTTGAAGATATGACAAGACAGCCAGCCTGACTTTCCAGAGCACGGCCCATCATATTTTCTACCAATCAGGCAGTTTAGAGAGCACCAAGACCTTCTCAGAAATCTGAAGTGCCCACCTTCACAACCATTACCTCCAGGACAAGAACGTTCTGGCTTATGTAACTATGTGTTCATGTAACTACTCACTTGCCTTTCTTTTACTCCTCCACTTTCTGTAGCTTCATGGTGCAGTGTACGGGAATGGCATCTATCTTAGCCCATTGTCAAGTATTTCTTTTGGTTACTCAGGCAAGTATATTTTATCTTTATCATCATTTAATGTTTTGAGCGTTAACTACAATTGCCATTACTTTAAACAAGTGCCAGGACCTTTTCAAAAAGGCCCTCAAATCTTTTACTCACTAGTTTTTCTTCAAGATTTTTTCATAACAAGTTACGTGAAATCTTGTAGAAATGTGAGGGACTGTGACAGCAGCAATCTGAGTGGCCACTGAAGGCAGTAGTTTAGAGAATGCAGCCAGAGCCTCCTAGAAATAACTAGACAGTGCTCTATTGCATTGAGAGATAAGCAACTGATGAAGATGTAATTGATGTCACTCTGACATTAGCAGAGCAGAACAAAGCAGAAGCACAAAGCAGAGAGAAGCCTGTAATGTAATAGGAGTATGTCACTATAAGAGCTGTTTTCAGTAAGCTGCGTAAATAAGAATAAGCACAAACAGAATAAGAGAGCCTTACTTTTGGTTAAGGGTGAAGTAGGAGTGCTAGAGACCATGTAGAGAGGTGGCCTAGTAAGAAGGGAGCAGCCTCAAATAGGTTACGTGTCGACACCCAATGCCCAGAGAAACATAAGGTGAATGTGTGCACTCATAAAGCATGTTAACAGCGATGGTAGTATAACACAAACTGAGACAAGGGTCATTTTAAAGCATTCTAGCAATGCCTTGTGTAAGGGGGCTGCATAAAGTGCTGTTTGAAATTCTAACCATCTTGTTCCGTTGAGGCCTCAATCCCAATTTCTCCATTTTGAAAATGAATAAAACTTTCAGTGAGTTATCTGATTTCATAGAGCACTAGAATTATGGAATCCCTACAGTGTGGAAGCAAACCATTCAGCCCATCGAATCCACACGAACCCTGTGAAGATCATCCCACCCTATCCCTGTATTCCCCATTGCCAGTCCACCTGGCCTGCACATCTTTGGACTGTGGGAGGAAACCAGAGCACCCAAAGGAAACCCACGCAGACACGGGGAGAATGTGCAAACTCCAGTCGCCTAAGGGTGGAATTGAACCTTGGTCCATGGCGCTGCAAGACAGCAGTGCTAACCACTGAGCCACCATGCTGCCCACTAATAGCCTCTTTCTAATAGCTCATATTCAAATGAGGACAACCAATGAGGCAGGAGTTTTAGGCTTTGGACTTCAATATGACGTAGAGGGCGGAGTAATAGCTTTATTGTTCTATGTTCCCACCTCCACCCCACTTAGGTCCATGGTGAGAAGGATTATTGATAGTTTTCCTGCCCCCTGTCAATTGTAATTGTATATGGCCAATTAATGATCATTTAAAATGACTGATTATGCCTTCCCTGGGCTCTCAGGAGTGACTCATTGTGCAGTGTGTCTACTGGACACCTCTTTGATAGGGGGTGATCCATGATCTAGCATCAGTTGAGACCCAACCTCTTTCCCTTGTCTGCTCCTCTGTACCTCTCTACACTTGCTCCCCAATGACTTCCCTCTGCACAAAGCCTCTCCTGCCATCACTCACCTGTGGCACGGGTGCAAGTTTGGCAACAGTGGTGGCACTGCAGTTCGAAAAGATTTGCTCACCTCTGATTGATAGGTACCCCTTGGTAAGAGGGATCGCTGTCCCTCAGTGACCTGATGGTGGGCAAAGTACCTCCCCAGAAAGGTTAAGTCTGTCAATTGCTCAATTAACAATTAACAATAACAGTGGGTTAAAATGTAGAACATACACATAGCGAATGAGATATTTCACATTGTTACTGCTGATGGCAAAAGCAGTATCGAATGCAATGCTAGAAAGTAAACAAAGCAATGGCAGCTCTGTCAGAGACTAAAAACGTTTCCTTAGCAGTGACTGACTGCAATAATAGAAAATGAAAATCCAGCCACTGCTGGCAATTAGCTCAAGTTCATTATTTCTAATCTTCCCACAGCAAATTCAGCTTTACCAAGTAGGAGTGAGCTCTCCTATTACCGGTACCTGACAATCTTTGCCTCAATATTAGGGAAAGCAGCAGCTTTTGTTTGCATGTTCATGGCAATGGATCATGTGCTTTTTATTCCTATTGTTACACAATTCACTAAATAATATAAACAAGTCAAAAAGGAAACTGGATATAGGACTGGGATAGTTCAATGTTGAAGGTGCCACTCTTTATTAATTTGTTCACACAATGCTTTTTTTTTAAACTTAAATTATATTTAGATATATTACAGTATTTTAACACATTGTGATTGACTGAAAGGTCATTTCTAATCACTGCGATATAGTTAATGATGTTTATAATTACCTTTTAGGGATGAATAAAAAGCAGCAGAAGGTGGCAGCCAAGGATGAACAGCCTTCAAACAATAAAGCAGCCACTTTACAGGTACTGTACTGATGGTGGGATGATTCCTGTTTTGCAGTATCTGCACTTGGTGTTCACCATAAGTCAAGAAACTAGCTTCATGATCTACCAAGTGGCAAATTTATTAATTTGGTCAGCCAGGTCTGGAAACACCCAGAATGGTGACAACAGAGAGAAGGCCATTCAGCCAGCAGAAGCAACTAAGTTATGAACATAGCAATTTAGGAAACAGGAGCCGCAGGAGACATTATGGCCCCTCGAGACTGCTCCTCCATTTAAGAATATCATGGCTGATTTGTTTGTGATTTGAGTTCCACATTCCCATTTATCCTGATAATCGTCAACTCTCCTGCTTAGAAAGAATTTATCCACTTCTGCCGTGAACAATCCTCTTCTCAGGCAGAGCGTTCCAAAGTCTGTCAAGCTTCTGAGAGAGCAATATTTTTCCTCACCTCTGTCCTGAACAGGAAACGCCTAACTTTAAAACAGTGCCTGTCTGTGGAGTGATTCACAGGGGAAACATCCTTTACATTGATAAGATCATTCAGGATCTTAGATACTTAACTCAAGTCACTCCTCTCTCTTCTAGACTCCAGTAGAAACTCTGGCCTATCCAACCTTTCCCCATAAGGCAACCCAATCATTCCCGGTATCAATCTAGTGAACTTCCTCTGAACTGCCTCTAATGCATTTACATCCTTAAATAAGGAGCCCAAAACTGAAAAGTATCAAGACGTGGTCTCACCAAAGTTCTACATAACTGAAGCATAACATCCTTACATTTAAGTTCAGTTCTTGCCATAATAAAGGATAGCCTTTTGATTACGTGCATACTAATCTTTTGTGATCGTGCACCAGAATACGTAAATCCCTCTGCATCTCATAATTCTGCAGTTGTTCACTGTTTAGGAAAAAAATTTGCTTTTTTATTCTTCTTGCCAAAGTCAACAACTTGACACCTTCCCAAATTGCAATCTACGTGCCAGATTTTTGCACACTCATTCAACCAACTTCCTTGTGTATTTTCATAGCATACTTTCTGCATACTGCCAAGAAATTCCAGCGAAAGCATTAGCCCCATTGATGAAGCTGCATAGTTAGTAAGCTATCAGCAGGACTTGATGTACTGGGGACTACCTGACTCAAGTAGCAAATTACTAGACTGGAAGGGTCCAGACCCAAAACATCAGCTTTCCTGCTCCTCTGATGCTGCCTGGCCTGCTGTGTTCATCCAGCTCTACACCTTGTTATCTCTTTTTAAAGGCTGTGAGGTTTCTACTACCCTCCCAGACAGTGCATTCCAGATTCCTACCACCTGCTGGGTGAAATAATTTTTCCTCCCATACCCTTTAAACTGCCTGCCTTTCACCTTAAAATTATGCCCCATCATTAGTGATACTTCAACCAAAAGGAATAGCTGCTTCCTATTCCATCCTGTCCATGCCCGTCTTACTTTTATACACCTTAATCAGGTTCCCTCTCAGCCTTCTCTGCGCTAAAGAAAAACATAAGACTATCCAGCCCGTCTCCTTGGGTAAACTGTTCCAACTAGGGCAACATTTGAATGAATCTCCCTCCAATGCAGTCACATCCTTCTTACAATGAGGTGACCAGAACTGCATACAGTTGCTTGACTGTCCCATCTGGTTTTGCTTCTTTGGTCTGGGAATAATTCAGACCTTGCTTGTTAGCTCCCCACAATTTAAAAATGAGCTGAACAGGAGACCCACATCTTTCTGCATATATTCCAAGCCACTAAGCAGTATTTTGCCAACTTCAATGCAACTATGTGGGCTGTGTAATAATATATTTTCCACTCACCATCACTCCTGGTACAATGTAGTCAGATCATCTTCCCTGCCCAATCCTACAACACTGCCCTTCAATGACCTTTCCATCCATAGCCACTGTTGAGACTCTTTCTCACTCATCTCCCCATTAATACTCCCCTTGAGCTTTGCTTTTTCTCTCCCCCTGTTTCCTCAGCACAGTCCTGGCACCAATCTCCTGTTTCTCTCATTTTGCATATAGATTGTAGCATAATGTGAAGCTGGCAATCATTCAGATTTGATTCTCCTCATAATATTCATTATCAGCAATTGATTATATGTGTGGATAGTTTAGATTTCAAATTTAAAAGCTTGTCTCGTGAAGAGTTGAAATGAAATCACTTTATGTAAATTAACTCATTTTTTTCAGTCACAGAAAAAAGGACAGCAACCCCAGTTTTTGCAAAGTCGTAACCTAAAGTGTATAGCCTTATGTGAAGGTACGTCCTCCATTAGTGACTCCATTACTTTCCAAAGCATGTGAAAAAATGTGAAAAGAAAACAGTTCATTTTATGTCGGAACATACAGACTTACTTCTTAATTGAGAGCCATTCTAATATGGGCAGCTGATTCAGTTTTGCTCCTTTTCAGAAGGAACAAAAGTGATGGAAGAGCATTTTTAGATGAACCTTTTGATGCAAAAGAACATTCATCACTTTATAGCTTAGAGTCTAAATTAACCTAATCCATTTATGACTCATCATTTGCCACATTGTAAAACTGAACCATATACCTCAGTTTCTTCTTGTTGCTCATTGGTGTCACAGAATAAGAGAAGAAACCAGTCATTTATCTCATATGTACAATTACTCAATTAAGATATTTTCTTGCATCCCATTCCTACACTTGGGGGAGATCTTTCAATTCAGGGTTAGAAAACTGGCCAGCAGCTCAGTTCCAGATCTTAATTCTGCTTGGCATATTTCAGAAACTGCCCATTGAGAATTTTTGCTGGGTCACACCAATTAATGGCAGAGAATGGATTCACAATGCCCACCGCACCCCCCACCAACCTAGTGCTAGTGGGTCAATGGCTGGCCACCTCGGCTTCAGAGATCAACTGTCCCAAGAGCCAAGGTGGGAGCTTCTGTCTGAAAATTGAAGGAGAGAGAGAAAGAGGAGTAAGAAGAACCAAGTATCTGTTTTGATTTTTAAAAGGCTGCTTGACTATGATACCAATGTGCATTCGCTCCCTGAATAAGCCAGAAACTGACATGGGTTCAGGAGAAGGTATCTTTTACATGATCTGTTGTTTCCCTGATCCTCAGTTCCACCATTAGCGTATCACCTTGGTGCTCAAAGCCAATATGGACAGTCCACATTGCCAGCTGTGGATCTCAGTTCATCTCAAGTGTTGGTTGCTTGAGGAACTCTGGCTCACAGCTGATGAGCTCGAGTCAGAGCTTTGAACACTGACAATTCATGGTAGAGCTGAGTTACCAAGGCACTGTTTTAGGTAGGCAGTCACACCCCTTAGATTAACTACCTCAAATTCAGTCAGTGGTCAGGGAAAGGAGGGTGTGACTATGAGCGAGGTAGGTAGAGAGATCCAGGAGGTAGTGCTGAAGGAGCCTCAGCCCTTGGGCTTATCTGTCAAGTTTGAGATTCTTGTTCCCCATGTGGATGAGAGTAGGTTCCACAGGGAGGATGAGCAAACTGACCGTAGCGCCGTGGTGATTAACACACCATTCACGGGTACAATCTTGTTAGCCAAAAATGGGAAACATGTCTTCAAAAACACAACTATATGTATGGACGTGTACCTGTCAGGGTACACTCCTTCCTCCAAGGTCCAGACTTCCTGAGTTACTTGACTCCTCCGTGAGCAAAGCATTTCTTTGTTCAAACTTTTAGTATTGGGGGTGAAGCCTCTCCATGTTGATCAGCTTATGGAAAGTTTCAGTCTGACTTGCTGGTGTTAAATGCTTTCAATGTAAGGGGTGAAGCCTGACCAGGCTGATGAGTTTGCCCAAGTGAGTCAGTCTTACTGGCTGAATCCAGCAAACCTGACTGGGGCAGGCAAGCTAAAATCTAAAAGTGGGAATCACTGAAAAGGTATTCTTTTGTGGCTGTGTCTCTGTCTCAAAACATTGGTGAACAGTTCTCGAATGGGTACATTCTCCTAGTTGTGATGAATGGTCACGGACCTGAGGGTGCCCGGGTTGCTGACAGTTTTAGCATTTTTATGTTTGAAGTGTGAACCCTGGCAGATGTGTGAGGGACAGTATTGCTAAATTAGTAACAGCAAAGAAGAGGCAGACATTAATTACAAGTGAAACATATGATGGAGTTGTGTGGCACACGACCTCCCGAGCTACAACCTTCTGGAGTGGTGAACTTACAATATTAACTGACTGAAAGGAGCATGAAACATTGAGTGGATGGTAGTACTTACCCTAGCAAGGCCCAACTGATCAGGCATCCTCTTGTGGCATTGGTTCTCTTCAACTGCCCATGTGCTCTAACTTCTATAGCCTTTGTCAGTCAGGCTGGCTTCTTATTGCCATCTATATGGAAAAGAACTTCCGACATCTAGACAGCCTTCAGCAGAAGCTCTAAGAAGGCATCACTAAAGTATAACACCACCTTTTTTGCCTGGTCTGTGACATTGCTCCCACTCAGCCCTGACAATGAGCACATGTTGAGTGACATTCCTCGCTTTCAGAGAGTAAAGTTCTGTCTAGCTGCCTGTTAAATATGGCACAGGACATTGGAAACCAGAAGGTCCTGGTAGGCCTTAGGACTTCCTGCCATAAAATATGTCATTTTACCCACACGTTAATGTATTGAGCTGAGAAGCATGTCACCGCACAAGAAAACCTGACCCAACCCTATACAGAAGCCCCTTCCACTATTAGACCTTCCTCCACACTTTGTCTCGAAATAAACGCTGTTCAGTTCAAGATGCCATTCATTGGAACTAAAGAAGGTGAGAAATATATTGTTTTGAACCAATGGAAGTGAGGAGAAAACATAATGAATAATAGGGAAGGTCTGTGATAGGCTGGAGGTCAGGAGAGATTAAAGAACAAAAGATGTCATAGTCGAAAAGGTAAAGATGGGTATAGAAAAGAAACAGAGGATGTGTTCAGATAAGACCTGAAAAAACACACAGAAACCATCTGTCAGAAATATGGCAAAAATGAGAAAGAAAAATACAAATAGAACAAGACAGAAGCAGAGCTTATGAGCTAAGAATCTAGTACTCCATGGTGAGTTTTGAAGTCTGTATGTGCTGAGTTGAAAGGCGAAATGCTGTTCTTCAAACTTGCCTTGATCTTCTTAGAAACACTGTAGCAGGCCGTGGTCAGAAAAGTCAGAGTGGATATAAGGTGGAGAAATAAAATGACAAGGAATTGGAAACTCAGGGTTGGATTGGCTGCCCACTGCTTCAAAGCTTGTAGCCAATTTAGGCCTGCAGTATGACCCTGGGTTTCTAGCTACTTGTCATTTTAATTTATTTAATGAAGAAATCATTGTAACAAAAGAAATATACTTGTGGTATATATCAAGGAAGTAAAACTTTGCCTCTTGACTATGGTTGTATGGTAAAGGGGGAAATCTACATTTCATCACCATCACACTGAAAGAGGTGAGAGCCCTGAAGTGGGCGAAGAAATGGAAAAAGTCCCACAAGGTCAAATGACCATGCAGCTCTGTTATAGTGCATTTGAAAAGTGGCCATTCAAGCTAAGGATGAGAGATGAAAATATTCATACACCTATTTTCAAAAAATGAGGAAAGAGAAGCAGAATTGAAGTTAAAAACAAAAGGAAAATAATCAAGAAAGAAGAGATAATTCTGAATTTACTGTGTTGATTTTTAATTTTTTGAAATATTTCTTTTTGCAGTGATTACTTCACCAGATTTGCACAAACATGGAGAAATTTGGGTAGTTCCACAAACAGATCATGTCTGCACAAGATTCTTTTTTGTGTAAGTGCTGTTAGATTTCACTTCTCAATGATGTAATGTGAATAAAAAGCTTTCTATTATTGGTGTTTCCCTCACTCCATGATTAGATGTATTGCAAATTAATTGATAGAAGTTGGTTGCCTTGAAAAACCAACAACTCTAGTATTTAAATACTTATTTGGTAATACCTGTATAGAACTTGAGTATTATTGAAAAAGGACTCATGTTGTCAAAACCTTTCATCTTACACTCATCAAAACAATTTGCAAGACTAATATAAATGGGAAATAAAACCTATACTGTGAGAAGAGAGTTCCAATTGGTTGGTAAATACACTCTAATTGGTAGAGGCATTGCCATGGAAAAGACACCACTTTGTTAATGACTGACAGTTATTTGACAAGCTTTCTTTTAAATTCTAAAAAATATAATTGAGGCAGGTCAACTTTAATGAAGGCATTGCCTGAGGAATGAAGCCAGAGGATGGCTATCACCTATGTTGTTGAGTTGAACCAGGTAGAGAGTGTGTACATGTTGTTCTGTCTGCAAAGAACAGGACCCTGTGTATTGATATATGTATCTTCCAGTATGTGAAAGTGTACCACACTATGTGCTTGAATAACAATCCAAAATTGGTTGTCCATATAATTATTTGCCCACTCAGAATTATTTAGCAAATATTGTAGGCATGGGCTTGTTGGATATAGTCAGAACCTTGCTTGTTGAGGACAACTGACATGATGTGTCCCTTGATATGATCTGCTCTTTAGGAGGTGTGAGCGATATATCTAGCATTACTCAGTACTGAAATTCATATCCCTTATTAATCATTTGTATGATAAATAGAACATTGTTTTAGCTTGATGGTAGCATCCTGCTAGTGGTGAACACAAATCATGTTGTTGCAGCATAGTAACAGCGAGAAACATCTAGCTTTACCTGTTGCTCCAACCTTTGAGATTCTTAGCCCTTGCTTCTTAGCTCAAGAGATGTGTTTGAATTCTTACAGTTCCATGCATTATAATATTGGACTTAACCAAATAAACCACCATATGTTCACCATGAAAGTTTGATGCTAAAATAGGGTGCAATAAAACCATCCTGTGGGACAATAATGAGATCATTTCTCAGTGCAAATCACACAAACTCATATACGGGCCAAAGGCCATCACTTCTGGTCCTGAAAACTACCCAGTCCACTTCAGAGTTTTGCGTGTGCAGCAGCAACACGAGTGGTGTTCACCACTAAACAGGATGCTGTCACTCAGCTATGTCTGTTTCCCTCCTCAGTTTAAGGCCTTCATTTGGTGTAGCACCAGCTGCAATGCTTCCTGCCAGAGGTGCTTGCTAGGTTCAAAATAACTCTGATTGACCAGCAGCTCTCGAAAGACCACATTCTGCCCTCGGGCTCCCTGATCCCGGGAAGACCCATTGCTGACCTGTTAAGCACCTGATGACACAAGTCACAATGGGCTTCCTGAAATGATGCGATACAGGTACCTTGTATGTCTCCAGCAAGACTGCAATCACTTGTTTCTACATTCTAATCTTACATCTTGGTCCATGTCCCTCGACCAAGTTCACGTAAATCTTCCATAACAGAATGAGCAAACCACCCTGTGAGGACATTAGATCCCAATTCTTTTCAGCTTTAACCCATCAGCTTGTACGGACCAACTATCAATGTCTTAATGTCCCATGAAACTAACGATGTTCCCCATATTTCTAGCCACACATTCATATACTCCATCTTCCTAGATGTGGAACCAGGAGCAACCAAGAGTTTGCTATTTTTGAGATCCTGCTTTTGTATCCATCCTAGCACGTCACAGTCAGGGACCCCAACCCTGTTCTGCTATTTAGTGATATGCATCACAATCCCTCAGCATACTCCGCACTGAATCAGTCATGTCATCACTGTTTTTAATTTTTACCTCCCTTTCTGGATCCATGCAGGCTGTCCTTTCATAAGTTTACAAAATCAGAAATTGTTAGAAAATCTCAGCAGGTCTGGCAGCATCTATGGAGAAAAATCAGAGTTACCGTTTCAGGTCCAGTGATCCTTCTTCAGAATAGACTGACCTTAAACCACTCCTTTGTCTGTCCAACTGTTTTTCTCTCTCTTTGGTCTCTCTTTCTACCTCTCGTTTATTCTCCCAACTCCCCCTGTCTTCTGTATAAAAACCTTGTCCTAGCTACTGTCAGTTCGGGAGAAGGGTCACTGGACTTGAAACATTAGTTCTGATTTCTCTCCACAGATGCTGACAGACCTGCAATTTCCCAGCAATTTCTGTTTTTGTTTCAGATTTCTAGTAACCACAGTTCTTTTGTTTTTTTTCATGTTATGCCTTTCTAATGGTGTATTATGTTAGATGGTCTGAAGGTGGAATAGACCATCTGTTGCAAGCTGTGACTCCCTGCAGCCTTCAACATTGCAGTCTCCATGATCTGTAAGGAGTAAGCCTTAATTCTATCTAACTGAAGGATTCTTTACCACTGGATATCATCTGTATTGGATTGAAAAAGATTGCACAGGCACATTTTTGAGGTGGGCATTTGGAAGTGATTATCCCGTCTGATTTTTATCCACTTGGTCAGTGCAAAATAGAAGGAACCAAGCCCACTTGACTCAAAGAAAACCTTGGATTTGCTCGTTTCTATAATAACCAAATATCTGCACATGTACCCATCTGGATTGTTGTCATTGTATCACATGTACTGCCTTCTTTTATGAGTAGTCCATTTCCAATCAAAACAGCTCCAACTGGAAAAAATAAATATGTCTTGCTACTCTGGCATTCTTTTATCTAGAAGCTTAAACTCCAGAAAAACCCAAAATGCCATTATTTTCTTGTTTCTTACAGTTATGAAGATGGCCAAGTGGGCGATATCAGTACAAACACACAAGAACCCAGCATACATAAAGAAATCCTTCGAGTCATTGGAAATCAGACAGCAACAGGTTAAAAGAATCACACGTCATCACTGACTGGATCAGAACACATTTTATGGCTTTTAAGCTGCAGTGCAGTTTTGAACTAAAATATTAACAATCTGATTTCAAATGCACAAAAATGAGATTTTGAATAACGCACTTTAATTTTCGGATTTCTTACCTGAACCCAACAACATGTTAATAATTCCAAGTCTGGGGTGTAGGTTTTGTCAAATGGTGGTTTTGTTATAGATTTTCCTGACAGGATTGACCCAAATTTTATTCAGCTTTGGCACTGGTGGAGCATTGAGTGTGAGGTTGAAGCAGTTGTGGCCAAGTTGTGCTCCTGTGCTCATTTAAACAGTGGGTCCTGACAAAGTGTAAAACTGTGTAGTATCTGAAATGAATGATATACAATTGGGCTTGTGGGGAGTGCTTGAGGAGGAAAAAATTTCCTCAGGCATCATCTGATTCAAGGAGCCATTTTCTTTCCACATTTATCAAGTGTTTTGTTCTTTTTCTTTCTTCATAAAATTCTCTAAGTTTTAGGAATGCTGATATAATCCTGTCCCTTCAGGAACAGGAGCTTGCATTTTAAAAAAGTCAGTGTGTGTTATAACACCCTGGTTGTGCCAGTCAAACCATGATGATATCTGTTTCGAAAAAGATTATATTACAATGGCAAAAAGAAATTATTTCAAAAAACTGCCTGGGGTGCTTTGATTGCAGGCCTAAGTGGAGCCAACCCCTTTCTAATGTGCCATAGAGATGCCACCTTTTATATGAAAGAGACCCTTTTTTTAAAACTCCTGGTGGTGATTAGCATTGGTGCTGGCTGCCTCTCCAATTTCCTTTTACAAGAAAGTAAAGGTAAAAAACTGTCAGCACATTGAGAAATGATATGCCAAAATGTACATTTTTTTTAACTAGAGCTACAGTGCAAAACTTTAGCATATTGAGACAATAAAAGATGCTCATTTTGATATCTTGACTGGTCCAAAAATACAACATTATTTTCCATAAAAGTGGCACATTTATTTTGAAAATAAGGATTGGTTTTCAATGATATCTCTAAAGAAAAGAAATTTATTATACTGTTGAATCATTTGCTGTTGTGAAACAGAATTTCTTTAAAGATAGTACCCTCTCACTTCTATCTCCTGAATAGAATCAATGCATTGCTCTTAAACCTTCAAAATTCTGGCAGTGTTGAATTACCTACTGGTAAATTTCTAGGTGCGGTTTACTGGTTTTGGTGGTTATTATGTACAAACAAAAAGGTAAACAACATTTTTGTTAACTATTTTGTCCAGTATTGTATGATCTTTAAGTAAAGCATGTGAATGTGACCACATGACATCGAATTGATGATGTCATCATCACATGACAGTTATTAGCTTCTAATTTGAAAAGTTTAATTTTGCAAGTAACATTTTGTTGTAATGCTGGGTATTATATTTGTGGGGCAATACCCTCTTCAATCTATCATGTAAGTCAGATAAAACCATGTTAATCTTGGCTTTATTTAAAATATGAAAAGAAATTAAGGAAGTATTTTGTTTATGTATTAATATATGTCTCATGTTGAATTGTAGAGGGGTTTACACTGGAGAGATTGATACAGTCTGTGTTGTTTGTGTTGTAATGGTGCAGACAGGGAATTGATGGCATGAAGAGAGCATTACAATATTTATATTTTTCATTAAAGTTGCTCAAAGTTACAGACTCAATATAGATACAAGCACAAAATATTTTACAATGCATATTCCACCTTTCTTTACCAAACACAGTCAAAATTAACGTTTAATTTGAAACTGTTCAATTTCATAGTTTGAGAAATAGCACTCTTCAGAATGTTTGCCCTCTTTCATTTCTTTTTGCTGTCTCCCTTCATATTGGCGGTACCTATTTCAGCTTAAAAAAAAGTCAGGTATGGAAAAAGTTTACAAATCAAACTTTCTATAGACTTGAGATTTGTTTAAAATACAAAAATCTCATCTTTTGAATACATCTTACATTAGCATTGTCCACTGGATTGTCTTAACATTTATGTCATTTTAAAACGGTCATTGTTGCTACATTTTTCAAATGTTTGAGGATGCTTATTATAAACACCTGTATGTAACAAGAAAGGTATGCAATGTAAACTAATTCTTCAAAACTGGTACCAGTTGTTTCAGCATATATTGTATACTTGTACCTTTTTGTCAAAATGAAGAAGGTTTGATAGGATCTCTAGTCATTGTCATTTGGTTAAAAAAAACCATACCAGAAGTTCACTGTTTTTAATCATGATTTAAAATATTTTTTAAAATTATATTTATGTTCTGCATTTTAGTATATGTCACTTCTTTTATCCAGTTGTGGAGTTTGTTTATACAGCTTCTTGTATGCTATTAAATCACCAGTCCAGCACTATCTGGATCTCTGCAGTGCAGTTCATAGATCCTCGGTCAGGAACTAGGGTGAACTTTTTAGGCAATCAGCACTGTGCATTTAAAATTACCCTTACAAATAACTTGGAATGTGTATGTTTACATTGAAACTCACAGCAGTTAATGACTCTTTCAATGATTTTGTTTTGGATTAATTAGAGCTGAAATCAGTAGACGCACAAAATGGATGGTAATGAACAAAATCAATGGAAATTAAAATCAGACAGGGTGAAGTTAACACCTGTTTTATGCCCCTGCCAAAGTGGAATTTTATTCATAATATTTTCATTCTGTGTTATTCAGCAAGTGGAACTTTTTTGGAAGATCTATATCTGACTAAGCTTCAGTTCCAGTACATAGTATGGTGAGGAGATGCCTATATTTTCATTCCAGATTGAATCATGATAAAGTGAACATTTTGCTTTGAATAGCATATTTATTTCATTCACTCTAAGTAAAATTATTTTTATTAAAAGTATCTTTTATGCCTAATGAAATAAGTTAAAACAATTCTTCTCATTGATGTAAAACAAAATTGGCAGCAAGATGTGCTACCTGAGCCACTTGAGATAAATGAAAGTGCAGTGACACTTTCTTTGCATTAATATTTCGAATACCATCCAGTGGAGGGACCAGTATCCATACTGACACACTACAAAAGCCTTTTTCATTAATGTGAAAGACATGCAAGTCAGGTCACCTTTATCCACCACCGAATCTGGCAGCATCATTGCCAGCTTATCTCCAGAAGTACCAAGAGAATTAAATTCCTAATTGGCAGCTGGAATTCTGTCACCAGGGCTCTTGGCTCTACTCCCAGTCCCATCCCCAAGAACTACTTACCAGAGGCAGACAGTTCTCAGTTACCAGAAGTGCCCAAATGGCTGCTGCCAGTCATCCAGTTGGGTCCTTACAGAAAGGTAAGTGGGGGTGAAGTAGCAGCGATGGGGAGGAGGGCACTGGCGAAGATGGGAAAATGGTGAGAGGAAAGGACTGGAGAATACTCTGAGCCCGTAACCCCTTCTAATGCCAGGATCTTCAATCAGGCACTGAGTTTCTCCAAACAGAAGGGATCTCCTCCGCAATCCTCCAACCAGGCTGCAAGCAAATTGATCTGGTTTTCTTGGTGTTCTGTCTACAAGCAGAGTCCTCCACATGCCACTGGTTTAGTAGCTGCACTGGCCTAAATTGTGCATTAACTTCCACTTCAGTTGTGCACTGAGCAAAAAGACTGCCTGTAAGCCATCTTGCCTCAAATTGGGAGGTGTGAGAACAGGATGTCCACAGCGCCCTGTCCTCAAGCACTCCCCCCACTCCCCACCACCAATCAAATAGTTTGAGCGCCTGTCCATGTCTCCGAATTCATACACAGGAGCCTTACGTTTCATCCCATGTGAGAATGGCCATGGTGGACTTTTGCAAGAGTGACAGGAATTCCAATACATTGGCAGTGCTTTAGTGCATAATTATTATTGTGGTGTGTTGTAGAATGTGTTTTTGCAATATGGAATGCCTTTTTCATAAGCTAACTATTGATTTTATAAGCCTAGCCTTTGAATACGTACTGAAAGAGTGCTCCATACTTGGAGCTGCTGTCTACTATGTGAAATAATACATTAGGGCTCCATTTACCAGTTCTTGTTGCCCAGGTGGATGTAAAGATGTTGCACCATGCCTCAGAGAAGAGCAGTGATCTTTTTTCACCCTGATTCTAGTTTTCTATTCCCAGCTCAATGTGTGGGATCTTACTGTTCCCAAATTGGCTGCCACATTTATCGACATCCCCTGGTTGTGAACTACTTTGAAATCTCCTTAAGACATAATATGGAGATATAAGAAAAATACAAGTTCTATATTTCTCCTTCCTCTTTGGTATTCCTACATAGTGCAGAAGTAAAGTTGAACATATCTCAAGATCAAACATCATGTATAATACTGCACTCTCAACAGTGGGAGAAAAAAAAAAAGTGGAAAAATGCTGACTTGTTCAAAGCAAATATGACTGTGATGGAACCTGACCTTCAAGCCCAGTAGCATACTCTCATTAATTACAAGAGACTGAAATGATGAAACTCTGAATTTGATAAGAGCCAGTTGAAGTAATGTCCATCGAGCTGCTAGGAGATGCGCCAGTGTCTACTAGTTGCAAATCTGCCAAAATATCCAGCTGCCCTTTGACACAGGCATTTAGGAAAGAAACAAAATGGGGACATGTCAATCTGTAAAAAAAAACAGAGCCAGTGGGAGGAAAGACAGGTAGGTAAACATTGATGGAAATAAACTGTTGGAGAGATGGGTGGAACACTACCTGGAGTTGTACTTTAGGAAGAACATTGTCTCCAAGGACACCACAGAACAACCATAGCAAAGCTGAATATCAACACCTAATGGATGAGCTTGAAAAAGCTATTGATTTACTTGTGATGGACAAAGTGCTATGTTCCTGATGCTGTACTATCTGAACTTAGCAAGCATTGGAAACTGGCACAGCAGCAGCCTCTGTGTCTGCTTCAGGGAGCAGGCAGCACCAAAGCATATGCACAATGCAAAGATTGTAATTCTATAGAAGTATGTCTGTAATGATTACAGTAACTGTTGAGGTATCTCTCTGGAACACCATGGGAAAAAATTTTGGTTATTTTGTTCGACTTCAGATCTGGCTGAACACATCTATCCCAAGTCCCACTGTTGTTTCAGAACTGAAAGATCCACAATGACTGATCTTCTCAGTCCAGTAGGTACAAGAGAAAAGCCACGAACAAAGACATTTGCATCAATCTCATCAGTGCATTTGAACATGTGAGCAAAGGCCATCTTAGATTCTGCAGACTATTTCCTGCCCATTGAAACCACTCAATGTGATTTTTTTCCATAACAACATAATGGGAACTGTCAGCTGCGATGGGACAACAGCAGAATGTTTGACGTTCACAGTGCGGGTCAAACAGGATGGTGTTCTGATACCGATGGTCTTTGGCATGTGCTTTTCTTTGCTGCTATATATGTCTTTGGGTTACTTACTGGGTTTCTACTTGTATATCAGCATAGATGGAAAACTGTATAGACTTACTTGCCTGAAATCCAAGACAAAGGTACACCAGGTCCTCAGCAGTGAGTTGCGCTACCCTGACACTGTTGCACGGAGATTCCATAAAAGGAACACCCAAAGTGATAAATTAATAGATCCGTTCATGCCTGTAAGAGTTGTTTGACGTTCAACATGAGGAAATGAGATGATCTAGGACGCTGGGATGCCACCATCTTGAAGCATCAACAATATAATGCTGGCAGTTGTTGGTAGCTTCATATATCTAGGCTCCACAGTCACCAGCAATCTGTTACACGATGCTAGAATCCATTACCAAAGCTGCAGCTGCTATGCCTAAGTAAGAGTGTGAGCAACTATAGCACCCTGACTGAGAACAACCAGCTGTGAGTCTACCACAATGTACTGTGTCCTCCGTGCACTCCACTATAGCAGAGAAGTCAGGACAACATATGCTAGGCTGGAGAAAAGGTTGAACAGTTTCTGTCTTCACTAACGTGTAATCTTGTTACTTCTTGACAGAGGTCCTGCAGTGTGCTAATTCTGTCTGTGTACACTAAGACCAAACATATTTGTGCTGGCATGGCTATGTTCAAGCCATGCAGAATGGTCCCTGTCCTTTTGTACATGAATTGGCCACATCCTGGGCATCTGTACCTCTACCACAAAGACACCTACTGACAATAACAACCTGTAGACTGTCGCTGATGATGGTGGCTTCTGGAGGCTGACTATTTGGAAGGGCATTGGTAGAGGAGAACAGAAAAATAAAAAGCTGAGGTGGACGAGAAGTCATCCCAAGAAAACAGAAAGCAGTGATTTGCTAGTTCACTGTCTTCCTGGTGCAAAACAAAATGGGGCAGAGACTAATCATGCTGGATTGCGACTCCTAACCACACCAGGTAATTGACAACCATGGCTCAAACCATGGGTCTTGCAAGATGGAACTGGGCTACAGTATACCATGCCAATATATTTCTTACAAAGTGCCTCATTATTTTGGAATGTCTTGGTGTGTTTCACATATTGTAGGTCAGACTAATGCTGATAAACAAAAGGCCTCCGCATTGAATAACAGGAACCTTTGCTAGTCACTGAACATCTTAGAAATGGTCTAAGTTTTAGATTATGATTTTACATCTACGTCAGGGGAGAGAATATAACTTACATATGTATTTGGTTTGATTTCTCCATATTATGTTTCAGTTCTTCTGTTGAAAAGATGGTTTTTGACATAACTCTTGAATGTTGTATGTGAAGATTAAGCATTTTACCTTTTAGGGCTGGGTGGTGTAGAATGGGGGCATCTTGGTCTGGATCTCAAACTTTTCGTTGCATTTCTCCTCAGACTCCTTTTTATAGATCACCACGGCTGTCATGCTGCAGGAGTTTTCTGGGTCCAACCATTGCTTCCATCTCCCACTCAGAGAGGGCTGCAGTAGTCACAGTTTGCTCATGCACCTGGGCACCTGAGATGTGTCAGTAATGATGTGGATGCCCATTGGCCACACTGAAGTGAAATAACTTTCCTCTGACCATACATGAAAAACAAACAGCAGCTTATGTCCTCCTAACAAGAAGAAAAACCAATAGAGGAACGGTGCTCTATCCACCCATGTAATGAGGTACAAAATGAGCTACCTCTAGCCTAAAAGAGTGCAATTTGTAAAGTTCTATTTTTGTTTGTTGCAGTTAGTTGCCTACAGTAAACAAACTGTATAGTGTAACTGCAGTCTAAGAGGTTAAGGATGTATGCTTAGCACACAAGCAGATAGAGTGATCCATTGCTACATGTTTTGAGAAACTATCTGATTAAAATGTTGCATGAGCAATGCAGTATATTTTATGGTAAAACTGCTGAGAAATTATATTTTTTCAAAATAATTTGGATCTAGTGATGTACATGTCAAATTATCTTTTCAATAACATTACAATTTTATCACTCGGCTGTGCTTTCTTGTGCGCATTTCAGTCCCTGCAGACCTGCTATCATGCTTGGGTGTTATAGCATAATGTGATAGGATTGTGTGGTTGATGGGCTAGCGTGTCAAGAGTGTAGATCCTATCTCAGCTAACAACCTGGACCATTGTTTTTGTCCCGATATTACTGCCAGAATTCTTTTTAGTTTTTCATGAAATGGTGATCAACTGATATTCGAAAAAAATACACAATTATTTGCATGACATTCTGTAGCTTTAAGTGATTGTAGTTAAATTAAAAACAAAATTAGTGAAAACAAGTTTTAACAGCCTGTTTTCACACCCTGCTGAATTGTCTTTTCCATTGTGGTGTCAGGCAGCGTGTGAAATGGCCTGGCAAACCTCTATAACCTGGTTTTGCACAACTGCCCAAGTCAGATTTTACCTCAATTACTTAGGGCTGAATGGCTTGTTACTTTTACTGTTCCTATGATTTAACGGAGCTTTTTTTCCCATAAATTTAATGAAAATCAACCTTGCACTTACCGATGGATTATCCAGTCAAAATAGTTTGTTTTCAGAATGATTTCAGCATTCCACATAGAAAACCAGACTAAAAGCTGCCACGTGATTAACAAGATAAAAGATGGGGGTTTAGAACAAGATCCAAGTGAACTGATCCTTTCAGTTTCATGTATGAAGCCTAACAAGGTTGGGTTCATCTGTGTTCAGATTTTGAACTAGCCCACGATAATATTAAACATAAAGTTATTTGTTTTATAATACCCGTTATATGTTCCAAATGGAGATAATCAGAGAAACAACAGAATCTAGCAAAGTAAAGATTTGATTTCAAATGTAAATGTTAAGACATTTCAGTTTTGCTATCTTAATGATTTTGAGAGGGTGTTAGTGATAATTATTGCATGCTAGGAAGTGCAAGGACATCAAAATCATCGAGCTAACTGCTGTCACCAAAAGGTAAAATACTGTCTATCTCCTCAGTCCTTTTAATATGTCGGTATGTTAACTGCAGAAAGTATGTTCCAGGTTTAGAAAAATGGTCCAATAATAAGTCAACATCTGAAAGCTAGAGATGTTATTATTTTGTGAGTTTCATCATCAGAAGATTAGAAACGCATCCAAAAGTGTAATCTATCCTTTACTGTTTGATATTTCTATCATTAGTCATCTTTGGAATTAAAATTGATCTTTGTCAGAAATGCAAGTCGGGTGATAGTCAGTTGGCAGTCCATTTACCCCACACCATTTTAAATCAGACATTGTGAAATGCAACATTGATTCCTTGTAGCCTGTTGTGTGCTGTGCCTAAGACCAATCTTACCCTATTTTATCTCATCATATAAGTTCACATTGCTAATTACACAGTACTTAAACAGAGTGCACACAAATGTAAAACTTAATGCTTTCGCTTCCATTTGAATCAGAGGGTGAAATTGACTAGGAAAGGAAACCGAGCAAGATATAAAACAGCCTGTTTTTTTTTTGCTATTACTTATTCTGTACTGCTGTTGAAGATCAATTTCACCACTACTGTGTTCAGTTCCAGGTATTTTGTTCCTTTCATGCTTTCCTTTCAAATCTGATACAAAATGCAGAGCAGCTGTCATAACAGATGTAATTGTAATTCAGTACCTTAGCTTTCAGTGCCTTAGAAATATAAGATACTGTCAACAACAACATCAATGTACATGATGTAAATATTGCCAAAAATACAGAGGCCAAATATTTTCTGTACTTGGTTCACATTGCTTTTAATTAGAACTTCAACTCCTGTCGCTGTTTAATTTCTCTTTATTTGGAGTTTTGTTTGCTGGTTTGCAAACTGTTTTGATCAATCATTGATGTAAATGCTTAATTAAAAAGAAATCTTTCTGGTGATTTTTCTGTGTCTGTGTGGTTCCAGTTGTGCATTTGGAAGTGTTGAGGTGCACCCAACAAGTGAGCTATCAATTAAACCATATTTATATAGCTATTCCAAAATATGATTTTCTGCATAGTTTAATGTGT